CCTAGAGGGCACGAATTTGTTTCGAAGTCGCACTTGTAGAAGGATCGAGTGAGATTATGCGGATACATTTGTGTTAGCGATCGTGCATCTGCACAAAATCTACAACTGTTGGAGTGGTTTCCTTGTATCGACGTGCATTTTATACTCTAAGTGTAAGGTTTTACTTCGGGACTTCCCATTCCCACGTACCCCTTCAAGACTTTGGAATGATGAGTTTGAATTCAGTGACAAGTTCACTTATTTTGGTTGCTGCCTAAGCAGTGACTGCTTTGTGACAGATGAATTCGGCGAACACATCAGTGAAGCTGGGGTGGTATTTGCCAGCTTGGGTCACCTTTGGCGTCGGAAGCAAATGTCACTGAGGTTAAAGGAACGCGCCTATAATACCACTATGAGCCTAGTCCTACTCTGTCTGAAATTCGGCCTTTCCGATCTGAAGAACCCCAAAAAGCTTCACATGTTTGATCACCGATGTCTACGTAAGATATCGGGCATTAACTAGCTGCAGTATATACGCAATGAAATGGTCCGTAATTGAGTACTAGGTGGTGGGTTGGATTCGCTCGAGCAGCAAATAGGGTTCACAAAGTTACTGTTGGGGCATGTATTGGCTCCTGACGGCTGTCTATCAAATGAAGTCCTTCAAAATTTTGGTAAGGTGTTCGTGGAAGACAGGCCGTAACGTGACAACGCAGAATAAAAGCATCTACGACCAAGTTGAGTACTTTGGGATCTTCGTGAGATTCTGGGTGGAAGCTACGTGATTCCCCCTGTACGTGTAGGAATCCCTGCAGGAAGTGGTATATAACCGATCCCAGTGGCGAGGTTGCTGTCGCCTCGTAGGCGAACTGTCTAGCTAACGCTTGCTTATCGTGCGCTGGGCTTGTGTTGGTTAAGGCTCACAAAGGACCTTGGGTCAATCCCGCTGATGGTGTCTTGCTCTAGGGTGATGCTCAGATGCATCCTATTAGTTTTAGAGAATATGGCCCTCGCATAAACGTTCTCATCATCATCATCATCGTCATCATCACTGGGCTTGTTTAAGGCTCACAAAGGACCTTGGGTCAATCCCGCTGATGGTGTCTTGCTCTAGCGTGATGCTCAGATGCATCCTATTAGTTTAGTTTAATATGGCCCTCGCATAAACGTTCTCATCATCATCATCATCGTCATCATCATCATCATCA